ATAGCTAGAAGTTCTTTTTCAGTGGTAGTGTAATTTGACTGTGCAGAATCTAAAGTCCTAGAAGCATAGTAAATAACATGGGCAGCCTTGCCAACTCTTTGTGCAAGGAGAGCCCCAACAGTATAATTAGACGCATCACACATAAACTCAAAAGGGAGGGTCCAGTCAGGAGGTTGGATTATCGGAGCGGAGGTCAATGCTTTCTTCAAGAAGTCAAACGCTTGCTTGCATTTGTTATCAAAGTTGAAAGTAACATCATTCTTCAACAGGTTTGACAGCGGAAGAGCTATCTTGCTAAAATCCTTGATGAAGCGCCTATAAAAACCTGCATGACGAAGAAAAGAATGAATCTCGCGAACGCAAGAAGGGTAAGGCAATGTAGAAATCACATCAATTTTAGCAGGGTCAACAAAAATACCTTCCTCAGAAATTATGTGACCGAGAACAATTCCTTGCTTAACCATAAAATGACATTTTTCGTAATTTAACACAAGATTAGTCTCAATTCATCTATCCAAAACCATATTCAAGCTACTCAAACATGCATCAAAAGAGGAACCATAAACAGTGAAGTCATCCATGAAAACTTCCATGCAATTTTCAATGAAATCAGAGAAAATGCTAATCATGCACTGTTGGAAAGTGTCGGGAACATTGCAAAGACCAAAAGGCATCTTCTGATATGCAAAATTACCTAAGGGACAAGTAAAAGTGGTCTTCTCTTGATCTTCCGGTGCAATATGAATCTGAAAGGCTCAAGGAGAGTTGACAATTGTATAAAGCTTTGCTTTATGTAAATGGCAATGGTGCCTTTGTGCCATAAATGGAAAAATCATTTGGACAATGGCTCAAACACTTGGATAATGGTTTAATAAATTTTGTAAACATTTAATCATGGGGAGATTTTCAAGCTAATGGACTTGAAAAGTAAGATCATGCAAGATGGCTTGAAGATTTGGTTATGAACTTGTCACAAAAATGACCTATAATTCAATAATGGAATGCCAAGTTCATGTCTTCGAATCTCCTAGCTCAAGCATGATAAAATTGTGTTCCTGGACATATTAGAAATATGGAAACATTGTCTACAACTTTCATGTTGTGAGTTTTGGCTAAATCAAATGGGAACTTGGTGAAAATTGGCCAAGAAATTGAGATGGAAAATTGACCAAAACTTGTTGAAAAATTTTCTAAGTGTTGGATAAAAAATATCACAACTTCATGGGCTCATATCTCTTAATTTAATAATTTTTTAAGGATCATCCCCCACATTAACAAAGTTGTAGAATTCATCAATCCCTACAACTTTCATGTTGAAATTTTTCCTTGAATAAGCTTGTATCTTGAGGAAACTTGCTTGTGAAGTTAGGGTTTTTTAGGTACAAAACACTTGAATTTTTTTCTAAGTGTTTGAAAATCTTGACTTTTGACTTTTGTTGACTTTCTTGATTATTGATGAACAAGTTTGACAGTTTTGAATATCTTGATGATTCTTGATTTTTGAATTCCAATGTTGACCAAAAAGTCAAAGTTTGATTTTTTAGTGATTGTTGACTTTTCATCAATTGATTTAAATATAAATCACTTGCATATTTGGAAATGTCTTGAGCCATGTAATTAGGTCAATATGTTGTATTTGAGTTCTTAATATCATGCTTCAAGCCATTAGGTCATGCATTAGGTCAACAGTCAATGATCAGTCATCTTCTGTCAAAACCCTAATTTTGGCAAATTTTGACCTTTGATGATTTAAGAATTTTCCTTGAGAAATCATGATCAACCCTTAATCAAATGATGAATATCACCTCACAATGTTAAAGTTGACCAAAAATCTTGAAGTTTGACTGTATATTGACCACAATTTACTTTTTACCCAATACAACCAATTTTCAATCATCAGAGCCATTGACTGAGCAAACATATGATGCAAGACTTGAAACTTGACATAAGAAATATTGAGGACCTATAATGAACCATGAAAGTCATTTGAGACCTTTTCAACCCAATCTTCCTTGTATAAGATGAAACCCTAGTTGTGGATCCAATGCTTAGGAGGTGAATTTTTCTGATCAACTCTTGAGAATCCTTGAGTATTTGAGAATTTTAGAAGAATGCCTTGAAGAAAATGGGAGGGCAGATTTTAGGGTATAACACAGTTGATGTGGCCGACATGGTTAGAAATGTCGTCGTACTCCTTCAGTATGGGAGGCTTCTCCATTCCTTTATGAATGGGAGCATCCATGATGACTTGGGATAGTGGACCGCGGGGGTCGTCTTTGTCGCTTCTTTCTGGAGAGCGAGAGGGGCACTGGTTGTAACGACGGTCTTTGTGTTGGTCTTGGCCACAAGGAGGGTCCCTTGGTCGGGACTTCTTTTCTTCATTGCCCTTGTTCCTTTTACGTTCATGGGATTGTCGTTGTTTATGCGGGGTAGTGTGACCATGGTTCTTGACAGCTTCGGGCTAGGTCCATTTCAAAGCGGAACCTCGCCCAGTGCGGCGGGGAGTAGGGCTTTGAGAATCGTCTCGTCTTTGTCTCTGTGGGGGATATCGTGAGCGGTCCTCTTTTTGTCAGGGAGGAGGAGTTCGAGAGTCAGGTATCCTGTGCTTTCTGGGGCCCGACGGGCCTGCTCCAGCATCATCAGTTGCTCACCTTGTAAGAAGATCATGTAATTGGTCAGGTTGATTGCCACAAACAAGGCTCTGGTCGTTGCGTCGGCACCTTCAGGAATGGGGATCTCCTGATATGTATTGGGCTCATAATTCTGTGGAGGATGATAGTCGTCGTCGCGTGGTTGCGAGCGGGTGGATGAAGAGGCGTTCAGTCCGTCCCTATGGTCTTGCTCGGGATCGGCCACGTTGTTGTTGTTGCGTGTGTTGTTGTCGCCAATGTTGTTGTTATTGGCGTCAGCGAAATGGACATTTTGGTTATCGTTGACAGCTTGGTCGGCCATGATAATCGGAAGTTAGATAAAGAGTTTCTTTGGTCTTGAATAGAAGACGAGGAAGCTGGACGGCGCCACTGATCGTACCTGACTAAAAGGGATTGTCAAGGTCCGCGAGCTTTAAGTCGAGCAGTGGTTGAATATGAAATTAGGGGTATCTGCAAGACACTCTGGTACCAAAGTAAGGTTTAGAGTAAGTGCAAGTAAGTGTGAGAGTATGGGTGAATGAATGAATACCTGACTCTCTCAAGTGAGATGGTATTTATAGCCTCCAACGCTGGACCAAGGTTCCCATTGTTGGGTTGACCAGGCAGGTCCAAAATGGAGATTGTCAGGTTCTACGTGTGTAGTGGAGGACAGCATGTGGTCCCCAACCTGAATGGACTCCTCTGAATGATTAGGAGGACGTGGATGTTGTCTTTTCAGGGTTAAGAGAACTCTGTGACATTCGGGGGCGTTGGGTGTCTGCCTATGAGGAGGGTGCTCGCGAGGATCTCTTGAGTGTCGTTGGTCCTTCTCGTCAGTCATGAGGTTGTCCCCATAGGACAGATCCTGATCGACGAGAATAGTAGAATCATTGTCTGACATGGTCAAGGACAGACTCTCTCCTGCTGACTTTCTTTTGCAGCATGGTTGGATTATACTTTGTATGATGTTTGGGCCAAGTGCATGCCCAATCCAGAACAGTTATACTCTGGGTTAAATATAAGGGTGGCAAAACAAGCACGTCTCGTTATACATGCATGTCGATAGTTTAAATTTGCATCCTTTAATATGTTTGCGCCGCCCCGCCCTGCACATACATAAACTTTTATATTTTTAACACGGACCCTCTCCACCCTGTCCTCACTTTTAGTGCAAAGTTGATCAAAATTTTAAATCTACATCCTCAAATATATTTGTTTTACCCCTATTTTATTTTTTACGAAGTTTTATAGAGCATGTCTAAACAGAGGAGGCATGCCCATTTACTGCACCTAGTTAAAATGATGTAGTTCTATGGTATTGTGATAATGATCCTATCTATTATTAACTATATAGGCATGATAACTTCTAGTTCATCATCATGCTATTGCTTTCGGTTTACACGTTCATCCTAGTAAAGAAAGTGTTTTGATGTTCTATTTATTTTTACGTGTAGGCTATTCAACAATTGTATTTTTTACTTAACTTTCAAAAAAAATATTTTTAGTTAAAAAACACAAAACATCATAAATTATAATGTCTATGATTTTTCATTCATATAAATAAAAAATCATTTCGACGTGTATAGTTTTCATCCATACATGTTAAATGATTTTTTTTAATTTAACCATATTATATATTTTTTAAAGTCTCTCAAGAATAATCTTTAAATTATTTATATTAAAAAGATTAGAGAATTTAAAACAAACAAGTATATATGGCTTGTAAATAAGTGACAAATAAGATTTCTTTAATTTTGTGTGAGATACATATAGTTTATTGCCTAAATTGATTTAAAGTGAAAATATGTTAATATTTTAGTTTTGTTTATATTATTTTAGGAAAGAAAATTTTAGTTGCCATAGAAGTAGTGTGTTTATTAGATGCAACTAAACACAGTTATTCTCTATAGGGGTAATTCTAAAATAATAAAAAAATTGGAGGTAGTATATTTAATTTGAGAGGTAGGCATGTTAATTCCTTTAAATAATGGCCGAACTCTATCTATGGGCCATCAAAATGAGCTCAAGATACTGTCTATTTCTACCACCTCCATTATAAAATTTATTACTTCTGTCATTTAAAATTTTTGTACATAAATTAAAAAATATAATAATATTGTCATAAGATATTACACTTTTACAAAATTAATTTTATTAATATATTGAAAATATAGTTGAAAATAAAAAGTAAAAAGTACAATTAAAAAATGATAATTACCACATTTAAAAAGTGAAAATAATAGTTATTTTAAAACAAATTTTATTGGTGAAAGTGGAGTAATATTTTAGAAAAATAAATATAATCATGAGAAATTAGACTCAATTATTTTCTAAATACTTCAAAAATCTTCAATACTACCGAAAGAGAAATTAAAATATTTTAACTCCACAATAAATGATCCACAAAAGACCATATTTCCTTATATAATTATAACCATTGGCATGTTCATTACATCTAATAATACACATCCTGGACCAGATTTTTCTCTTCTTTTCTTCTTTCTCCACCCTCACACCCCGACTCCGGCCTCGCCTGCCCCATCTCCCCAAACCTTCACCAGCCCAACTCAGATCCCCACTCTGACCATGGCCTTTCTCCAGACATCTTCCCAATGCAACAGTCACCGTAGCGCCTGTCACAATTGTCTCGTCGGGACAGCCATTGATGAGCTCCATGAACCACAAATCCTGTCATAACCCTAAACCTCCAATCCTTATTCCCCTCTAGTTCCTGGGAATGTAAATGTGAGGGGTGTGTGGGTGGTTCATTACTTTTTAGTTTCACCACTGCAAACCTGGTTTGCTTGTGTATGTAGTTGGAGCTTTATGAACCAAAGCTCATCACACTGTTGTCTTCTTTGTTCTGCCACCTCAAGACATCATTTGAAAGCAAAGTCAGGACAATCACGGTAGCCAATATTATTATTTTTTAATAAGCCACCATACATTACCAATTCGTATATCCAAGCTGATTTTGTGACAATTTATAGCAATCAAAACAGCCATAAAGAACCGACAATAATTAAACATTTTTTCAGTGTATTAAACATCTGATTAGTCTCTCAACCGCCTACAACATTGCTAGACTCATGTATGTCGAAAAAGGATTGGTTTAAATAAGTGCCAAACTTAATTTTTATTTCATTTTTGAAGCCTGATAATTTAGTAATATTTACAACACTACAAGTACCCCAATCTATCTCCATGCACACTAGCTGCACCAGTTGTTAACTTGCTTGAGCTGAAATGTGGAGGAACCTGAGAATTCATCACTGCAAGATCTCTTACACGGACTAAAATATGCTCGGGAATCGGAGCCGTACCATGCTTTCGAGAATTCATCTATCATACACAAAAAAGCTAATGTAAGTAACCATCAAAACTGAACTTATAACTTCACAAATTTAACTGATTTGAAACTTTTCATTTTTGGAAAGTAACTTGAAGACAAATATCAGGGAATGTCAGTTAACAGGATCAGGATGAATTCACAACCCACAAAACATGAAAATGAAGAAATTTATGCATAGAAAACATGGGGTATAGAATTAAATAAATAAATGATCCAACAATAAAGTTTGACACATTAACGAAAGTTAAAATATTTAATCACATTGGTGCTTTTAGATCGGTCAATTTACATGAGATTGTATTAGAAACTAACTTAATCTGCTTATATGAGATTAAACTGAATAAACTCTTACCCCCTCATCTGCAGGTGTATGAGCAAAGCTAGCTTTGAGCAAATTCCTCCACTTGTCCTACAAAGCAAAAAATGTATTAAATGTATGCATGCATGCAGGTGCAAACACCAAAACCTAGCATTGAAAGTTTAACATGATCAAAAGTCGACATGATATGGAATTATTAATGAGTACCTTGAGATCAACAGAGGTACGATGTGAGTACGAGGAAAAGGATTGTCGTTTGATCTCAGACCACCTCCCTGGTCCACACCGCGACACACCTTCAATCAATTTGGTTACCTCAGCAAGGGTCCATGCTCGATGATGTTTCCTCCTCATTCCACCTTTAGCAGTGGGAACAGTTACCATGTTGCTCTCTGCAGTATGACTAGGTGGATCAATCTTTTTTGGTCTCAATTCCTGCCTTGGTTCAGTTGTACCAATTACTGGACACTGCTTCTCTTTTCCAGACTCAGAAGTAGACTGAGAAAGACACCAACATGCAAAAATAATTGATTAAATCATGGTGCTATATTTTCAAATCTCATTTTACCATGAGCTACAGTGACAGAAACTAGAATGAAGTTAAGGGAGGCAGATTGATATGTTTGATGATGCACGAGTATTGTGCCGTTAATCAAACACACGGAAGGACTGCATAAGATGTACACTGTCAAACACATTTTCCCTTTGTTGCATCAAAGCCCTAATAATTAATTCACCATCAGAAACCACTGCAAAGGGGATCAGCTTGGGCTCACCGTGAAATAGCACCCATACAAGGTAAAAGAGGAAGGTATATAATATTGACTAATTTATTTTATTGATTGTGCCCAAATGAAAACATTTTTTCTGGGAACTCTGAAATTATAACTTCACCAAAATTTGATAAACATAAACAGCTTAGAAATGTTGAAATTAACATACTGCAATAGCAATTTCCTTAGCCACCACATTGAGCATATGTGTTAATTAAAGGATATATACAGAAGCAAATTACACAGCATATAAGAAGCCGTTTAAAAAAGTTTAACAAATCAATTCATTACGCAATCTCTCAAAAGGCGGGTTTTTTCCCAATTCCTGTGACAGATTAAGAGTTATTAAACACTATAACCACTCAGATACTGATAAAATTATTTACAATCATATAATTCTACTTTCATTTTTCCTTTGTAATGATAACCATATTTCTTATCTTAATAAACTTATTACTCAGAGACATACACATACATATTTCCTTTCATTTTGTCTTAAATAACTGTCAAGATATGTTTTTTAAACCATTATAGCTTGTTGAGTAAATATCTCTATGATTAGGTTCGTTGGTTTTATCCCTATAATCAAGGGATTTCGATCTAGATTTAATTGTAATCTCTCATATCTTTGTTGATCCCATTCTAACATCAAGTCTCATTGAACAACTTATACATTCTATCACTAGCAGAGACTTAGTTGGTCTTACCGGCTGATGAATCTTCACAGGCATGGAACTTGGCATTGAGACTTTCTCCTGAATCTCACTATCAGTGTCAGAACCATGATCGCTGACGGTATTATTGCTTAATTTTGCAGCTTCGACCATGCCAGTTGGATGGAATTTCTGAAACAAAATTATAATGATTTTGTTTGTTACAAAGTAAAAACACTTTCCTGGACTATCACATATCAGTTATTTCTGGAACATTCAAGAGACTGCTGGAAAGACACAACAGACACACAGGAGTAGAAAGGCACTACTAGAAAGATATGGGCATGCAATCAAATGGTTTAAGAACATTTGAGCTGTACTGGCATAAAAGGTTTTTATGTGCCATGATTTGCTGCCATATTTGATTGAGAATAAGAGAGCTGTACTAGCATAAACACAGGTTAGTGCTCTATATTTTGTAACACATCATATAGTATAAATATTATAATTATATTCTATTATGCAGTTTCAGTTTGCTCTTTTCCTACATCTCTACATAAATCCCTTAATTTCAAGAACAACTAGAGGCCAAAGGATGAAACCAAATGTATGAACAAGAACCTGTTAAACTTCTTCTAATGGCAGTAATGGGAAGTTATGAGAATATTTTATGGCAGTTATATTATTTAATTTTAGGAATACGTATGGAAAAAGTCTCAAATTTTATTTTGAACTCTTAATTGATTATTCTCTTTATTCACTGCAAAGAGTTGGTGAACCAAAGAAAGGAATAAATATGGAAAGGATAGTGGTCTTGGATGGGAGAGACCAAGCTCTCGAATTCTTGGAGGGAGAGATCAAGCTCTCATTCTTGGACAGGAATTGCTTTATATTTATCCTATCATTGTCTCTCTAAACTTTCTTGAATGTACTAGTGTGTTAATTCTGTATTAATAATATAAACTGTTGTTCTAGACAAATTCAGCAGAGGATTGTTCTGTCATTTCTGTTTTCTTTAATTCATTCACTATAGATACCAGTTTCTATCAGAACCATTTTTCTTTGAGGGGGTATGGCTAAAACATAAAACTAAGTGTTACTGTCAGCATATTTAAACATGAAAAAGTATAACTTACCATAAGAGACGTGATATTTTTCCTTGGACGGCTTCTTCGAACCCGAGAAACACGTGGAATTTGGACACCAGAACCTACAAGTGAGTCTAACCTGGTGACAAATGTTCTTACCTCCGGAAAAGCATTCCTAGCAGGCCTGATGTAAGAAGTTGGAGAAACATGACTGTGTCCTGTATTTTTAATAGAACTTGATGGCCTAGGATTGTACTCTCTAGATTCATTTTCAGAGAGCTCTTCAATATATCGCTTAGTGGGCTTACGCATTCTTTTTGCAGCTCTTTGTTCTCTCCGCTGATCCTCGTCTCCTAATTCATGTTCCGTATTATGATTTTCCAGTCTTGTTTCAGAAGCAACTTGGTTATCATCATCTCTGTAACCCTCCACTGCATATGAATCCACATACTTGACATCCCCTTCTCCAGCCATATTTTCCACAGAGATTACAGCTGCAGCATTCACATTTGCAGAACATTCTTCTTCCCGTTTTCTAGTTATTTTGCTATCTTTAATAGTGAATGTTGTTGCCGAAACATCACAAGAGTTAGTTAAACTCATAGCAATCCTCCTCTTCAACCACTGTTTGTCTTTCACAGTAGTTTCCCGACCAAAAGTGACTTTAAACAGTTCATGAAGTTCTTTGATCGACAGCTTGTCTAAACATATTTCTCCGTCTGTCATGGAAAATTCAGGCTTCAAAGGGGAATAGACAGCAGAAGCAGATGATCCACTTTCTATCATTCCTTCTGAAGGTCTGGAACACTGATCAATACTCCCAGATTGGTTACTATGACAATAATTTAAACTCGATGCTATAGAAGGTGCTTCTTGGTCCTTCTCATTTATGACAGGAAATTTATCAGCAGAACACTGGCTATCTATTTGTACATGAGAACGAATGGGTGATCGAGACGACAAGCGAAGTTTCTCTTCCTGTTTAACCTTTTGCAGCATCTGTTCAATATACTACAAGAAACTTTAGAGGTAAAGAAGGACCCTAGAAAACAAAATACTACAAATATCAGGATATGAAGACATGCAAGCCAAAAACCAAAAATATGCACCCATCACCCAAGAAAAAGAAAATTTTGTAACGTGATATCAAGAAAATATGAGATCAATAACCACTTCCCAAATAAAGCTACACATAATATTGTAAAGGATAAAAAATATCCAATGTAAACAACAACCAAGCCTTATCACGCTAAGGGAGGTCTGATCCAATGTAAAAGACTAGTAAGAAATATTAAACCCAAACCAACACATATATATGTACTCTAGACAAAGAAAAAATACATGTTCCATGTCCATGATACTTATTTTAACTTTATTTTTCTTTAGTCCAAAATGTACAAGCTACAATATATATAACATGTATCATATCCGGAACAAATACTTGACATGGTTCTTGTTAAACTAAAGCATTACAAAGTATTTAATACTATA